ATATATATATATATATATATATATATAAACAAATAATTTCTCCAGTTACTTGTTAAACTCCCACAACTTTAAAGTCATGGACTTATTATTTTTGATATGTGAGCTTTCTATTAACTCTTACATAATAAAAAAAATTATTAACACAAACTCCCTTAAATACATGGTTAATGTTTTCAAGAATTTTTGTTAAATTAACAAATATATCTCTATTTTCACCATAATTTATATAAAGTCTCCTATGAAATATATCCATTTTTATTTTGTATATTTAAATAAATATGTTAAATAATAAAAAAAATAAAAAATATTTTTTATTGATTTGTACATCTTAGGTGTAAAATGAAAAACTGTTGAATTTAGTTGGCAAAATAATACATAACTTAAAAGAATATTTAGACATTTGAGGTTGGTAAGCGGTTTGAATGACCAATACCAAAATATATGCATTATAATGGTAAAAAGTTATACAAAGTTGTAAAAAGCTATCATTAAAGATGTTTTTATTTTTTTGATATATTTTGTACATTTTGTTCTTGTGTTTAATACAAATTTCATTGTAAACACTTTTATATTAAGAGCTGATTTGTACGTAACAAATTTTTTTTCATACATAATACTTTACAATATAATATTGTATAACTCTATAAAACATAAATTGTTGTATATGAAAAAAAAACTATTGTGTATGAATCACTTCCCTTTATATTACATAAAACTACGATTATTAATTTAAAGTAATATTCATTTAAAAAATATAACATGTATTAAAAATGTCCAATTAAAGGCGGGATTTTATAGACATTAAATATAGATAATGATAAATGTGCTAACTTTAAGAAGTTTTATGATAAGATATTAAGAAATAAAGTTTAATAGAAGTCTCATTTGCAAAAGTATTCGGTATTTTCGAGGTTAACAAATGTGGATTCCATAATATCAAAATCAAAGAGACATTATACCAAATCTATATTGGTTCCATTTTAAAAAGGTTAATACTTAGCTTTTAACATCATACATGATATGCTGAAAGAGGTACACAGTAAGAGAAAGGGTGAATGTGGGGAGTACAAACTTAAATGAATCCGTCAAGGTTATATGTTAAAAGTTTCGAACTTCTCTGTGTTATTGTGTATGTATATGATGGAGAAAGAGAAACAAGAACGAAGTAGTCAATATTACCTTTAGCATATCCCTTTCTTCGCTTGTAGGTAATACTTTCAAAAGATTATTAAGTTGTTCAACATCAACAATAGAAGAATCTAATGCAAGGGCAGCATTCTGAAAAGCAAACGCAACATAAATGTTATAAACCACGCCATTCCATCAAAGTGAAAATATTTTCTTCATGGCACACCAAGATTTGTGCAATATAAAAATAAACTTACACACATATGAGGTAGATTAATCTTTCTTTGGGAAAGTATGGTTTCAGGGTCATATGCTTTGTTCGGAGAAAGCTGAAAATTAAAGAAAATTCATTATAATGGCTTAAGTAAACTATCCTAAATATATTTTTCACAAGAATGAAATAATAATATGTGTTTTGTAACTAGGACTAATATCATAAAAGTCCTAAGTTTTTTAACGCGTAATTGGAAAAACCATTATATATTTTTTATTATTGCGATGGTCACAACTTTCTTGCAAAAATTATCACCCTAGCTCATTTAACGAGTTTCATGGTTAACTTTGTTATTTTATTATTATTTTTTTTTGTTTTTGCAAAATCAGTCCTAAAATTGGGTTTAAAGTTTAATTTTGGTCCTTATAATTTACAAAAAATTACATCACATGGTTTTTTAACTTTATTTTCATTTTTTATATACTTTAAAGAAGTATATATATAAATATACATATATATATTGGTTCGTATATATACTTCATTTTTTCCTTTTTATATACTTCATTTTTTATATTCTTCAAATTTGTTTTGTATAGTTTGCAAAAATTTACACATGGTTTTTAACATTATATTTCGCTTTTTTATATTTTATCTA